GTAGCAAATTAATTTACTTCCATTTGTATTAACAAGGACTTCCGCAAAGTAACGCCTGAATCTATTAATAACTTTATAAACTTAAACATGATTACGTGTACCACACCAAATGGTAGTAGTAGAGTAATAATACCATTTTAAACAGTACAAAGTTAAGGAAAATACAAGTAGATAGTCACGATTTAACATTCAATCACCTTACATCTTAAGCCGGATACTCACTAGCGAGTAACCGTTGCGTGATGTTACCAAAAATCATAGTGTGTACGTGGTACGTGAGTTTGCCGCGAGCGGAAGGCGTGCGGTTCGTAGTGAGCTGACGATAACCAGATACTCATTCCAGCGAATGAAGACTGTTTCACGCGTACACACTAGAATCTCGTTACTGTATTAAGTTAGCGCGTTTGCGCACTACACGCGATTCATTCCGAATCCAAGACCAGTATTGGGCGCCAGTCAATTAAATTTCAATCAGAAATTCAATCAGATAAAAAAATCAATTCATTTTGAAATCAATTGATTTCAATTGAATTGATTTTAATAGCATTTAATTTTTTTAGTTTTAAGAAACAATTGAAACTAACAATTATAACCGAAAGTACCGAATAAAAGTGTCATTATGAATATGGGTTAGGGGGTGGGTTAGGGGGTCGGTCAGGTGTTCGGTCAGGGGGCGGTCAGGGGGTCGGCCAGGGGGTCGGTCAGGAGGTCGGTCAGGTGGTCGATCAGTGGGTCGGTCAGGGAGTCGGTCAGGGGGTCAGTCAGGGGGTTGGTTAGGGGGTCGGTCAGGGGGTCGGTCAAGAGAAGGCCCTAACCCATCCCCTAACCCACCCCCTAACCCACCCCCATATGCCCTATAAATTTATCATAATTGTCAGTTTTAATTGTTAATCAAAAACATTGAATTAACGACATTTTCATTTGAATTTCTTTTGTCCGCCAATCTGTACTGCTTTCGTTACACTAGACTATAATAGTTACATTTAGTTAGATTTGCACTGAATAAACGAAAAGCCCCAATTGGGGATTAAATACTCTGGCCTGCCCTGGTCGAAATGTTATGAGTGCTTAATTATTACAAATATGAAAAAAAAATGTGTGACACTGAATTAAAGATAATTGTAAAAACAAAAATATCTATTCACAATTAAAAAAAAATAATTCAACTTCAAAAACCACAAACAGCAGAGATTTAATCCAAACGATAACAATGTATGTAATTCTTTTTTTTATTTATTTTTATCTTATTTCGTTTTGTACACAATATTGTAATAACTTATTAATCAATCTATCTACATTTATGGTTTATTTACACAATTACAACGTTACCTATTCCGGTCCAAACCTATTATTACCTATAATTTTAATGAACCTAAATTTTTCCACAATTTTCTAGACAGAAATCGGTGAATACACTGTACATGCCAATACAAGTTAAGGATTTCGCTCAATTTCCATGGAATCCCCTCATCAGATTCTGACTTGGTGATAACGGGACTACCTCGAGAGTGCACCCTTACAAACAAAAAAAGAAATTTCAAAATCGGTCTACAATTGACAGAGAAATCAGACAACATACATAAAACATACTTACATACAGCCGAACGTAAACCTCTTTATTTTTTGAAGTCGGTTAAAAAAATCATCCTTTAGATGGCGTAAAGCGGAGACAACTCCTCCCATAGTTGGTTTTCCTCAATTCCATTGCAAAAGTTTGTATAATTATGCAGCCTACCTGATTGTCTAGACGTTTTTTAAGCTTATTTGCGACATGAGGGACAGATATTGGTAATAAAAATTGAAGGCTGTGATAATAATAATATATTAAAATGAGTTAACCTTTCCGCATAGCAGATCGTATGGTAAATGAAATGAAAAAAACTTTGTAAAGAAACTTGTTCTGAATTTCCTCAATACAATGGATAATCCATATGATTGTGCACCAAAGGTTATTAGACTATTTCCAAAGCATAGTTCTTTAATATTTCGCAACATGAAAGCTAGCAATGGTAAACACTCGTTCACTGTCGATAGAAATCCTATCACCCAGCCTCATGTTTTCCTTTCAACCTTACGTTGATTCTTTAAATATAAAACCAAACGTAGTTTTACTAAATGTTTAATACAACACTTTTTGGTCAATACCAAGTTCTATCTTTTAAATAAAATATACTATAATTGAGGCTGTCAGTGCAAAAGTGGTTTGGCCCCAACCAAGAATTTATTCAGATAACAATTCCAAAAACAAATACTGTAAAATAGGCTCCTGACGAGACGATGAATTGCGGACACCAGCCCGTTACGCCATACCATGTATTCCTACTAACTTCCGGAAGAAATACAAACTAATCGAAAATATATACATATTCTAAAAAAAAAAAATCACGCTGCAGGAACCGATACATTATATTATTGGTTTTAGATTTACTTTTTTAACACTCGATTTTAATAAAAATAACCATTACCATTCGGCCCGCCGAAACTGAACGCGATGCTACTTTGACAAATTTTTTTATCGAGCTCTGACTACAATGGCTACAATTTTTTTTTATAATATCAAATGACAGGACCTTACTTAGAGCATATAGGACGAACAAGTCGTGTGCCTGATGGTAAGCTACACGCCTGTCCATAACAGTTGCAGTGTCACTTAGAGCTTTAAATCGCAAAGATCTGAGGGGCACTGCCACTGCGCCCGTCACCCTGAGACATAACAAGTACCATGTGCCTGTAATTTCCCCAGCGCCCTTACCCTTCAAAACCGGAACACAGTAATGCTGACATTACTGCTTGGCGCTCTACTGCTACTAAACCGCCCCGATCCATTTAGTGTCAAATTATATAATTTTAAGAGTTTTTTTTTCATTACATTCATAATTATTATAATATAGTATAATGATTATAATTGATTGATTACAAGTAAATTTTAATATTTCTTAGTAGAGTTGTTATGTTGTCACCATTAATTAACAAGCACCAAAGTTTATGAAATGTTTAAAGTCGTTTTTAAATTTATAATACCTAGGTAAATAAATACGGCTACCAATACTTTTCGGTACAACACAAATTAAGTTAAGTTGAGGTATGTATTATTACGTCAGCAAGATTTTTCCAAACTTTCAGTATTTTATTCGGTTGGTTCTGTGTTTTTATTTGTGCAAAAGTTTTCGGTAGCTTAGCAAATAACGCAGTAATACTAATACTTTGAATAAGGTTGGTTAGAAATTTTTCTAAGGCTTAAACTTTGTAAGACCATCCAAGGTTACGACCATCTAAATTAAATACAAACGTCCAATGAAATAAAAAAAAACTTATCGTTTGAAATGCATTTGTTTAATGAGACTCAGTAGCAAATACACTTTTGTATTCATTGCTTGACGTCTTTTGTAGGTGTAGAGTCGATGCAATGTTTATTAACCCAAATTGTCTTTTGTATAACATTGTTCTAATAATTAATTAGCCAAAATGTATTGAGTTTCAGTTAGTTCGCTAAAATCCATCATGCTACATATATACTTTAAAAGTAACAAAATTATTTTTAAAACCGTTATCTAACTTTCGCACACGAGTACGGGCGAGGACGCGGGCAATTCGTTTCATAATGTATTGTGAGTGACGCAACGAATTACATTACACGCATGCGCACTCTACCTCGCGCCCTGTTGAGCTGATGATCTCATTGGTGGCGCTCGGATCGCGCAAGCATAGACAAGCTCCATATTTCCGTAACACAGAAAAATAATAATAACTCTAAAGTGACTATACTTTCATTCAGTTTGACAGTTCTACTAAGAGGCGAGCATGTGTTTTCTGCGATAATTTACCCCAGTTTTTCGTACGCTGATAAGTATTTGTGGACAAAATCTTGATTGTGACCTAGTTATAACGTGCGTATCTTGGACGCTTTATACCGACAACTGTGTTACATTAGCGACATGATAACGTTGGAATGTAGCGGTATTCTTACACTCACCGTCCGCCTGCCGTCGATGTCTAGCTCATATTGACACAGTAATGTGCATTTGTTATGGGTCGCGTGAAGGGTTTAATAGCTGTCGCAGGCATGCCATGCGGTCACTCCGTCCGCGACATTTGTCCTCGACCCACGGCGCTTGTACTCAAATTACGTTCGCCGGCGCGTATTTCCGCGCTCGATGTAAGCGGCAAAACTCATCATGCTGATACGCCGGCTACACCGCTTTATGCCACTCTACCCAGTGCTTGGTCTCCTTGGAGCGTACACTCACGCTTTCGCCGTTCCAATCTGCAACTCCTCCATCTACTGCACCGGTGAACTTTTACGTAAAGTTCAACTTGCGGGTGTTTTTAACGATTCGAAAACATTTGTCGATCTCAAACAATTGTATTCAGAAAATGCAACATTGGCCGACTTTGCAAAGTTACTTAATAAAACAGGTCAACAACCGACATTGGAGCAGTTGCGTGAGTTTGTGGACGGACATTTTACAGAAGGAGATGAACTTGAACCTTGGATTCCGCCAGATTTTAGTCGATCCCCCGAATCACCGTTGTTTCAGAGAATCATAGATCCAAATTTAAGACAATTTGCTAAAAGCGTAGTTCAAATTTGGGGAAAGCTAGGACGGAAAGTTAGCAAGGACGTGAGTAAATATCCAGATCGTTACAGCTTCTTGTACGTGCCAAACGGGTTCATTGTTCCTGGCGGGCGGTTCAAGGAATTATACTACTGGGATACGTATTGGATTGTGCGAGGACTTCTCATCAGTAACATGCCAGAAACAGCTAGAGGCGTAATTGAGAACTTGCTTCATCTTGTTGAAACTTACGGATATATTCCAAATGGCAGTCGATTGTACTATTTAGGTCGAAGTCAACCTCCTTTACTAGCAGCCATGGTGGCAAATTATTTTTATTTTACACAAGACCTAAAATGGTTGAGACGAAACATAGGCACTGTCGAAAAGGAGTTACGATACTGGTTGGATACAAAAAAACAAACGGTTTTCGTTAAAGGACACACGTATACATTGTTGCGCTATTACGCCGATAGAAATGGTAGAGGTCCTCGTCCGGAGTCGTATCGTGAAGATTACAACAACGCTGAATATTTACCACCCCGTGCACGTGAAGATTTTTACCATGAAATGAAAAGCGCAGCGGAGAGTGGATGGGACTTCTCATCTAGATGGTTCATCACAGCCAGCAATACTACAGGACATTTGACCGACGTGCATGCGACTAGAATTTTTCCTGTTGATTTGAACGCTATTTTTGCTGGAGCTCTGCAACTTACCAGTGACATGTACAGTCGACTTAAGGACGGGCAGAAGGCTTATAAGTGGTCGAATTACGCATACAATTGGCGTAAGGCAATCGAGCATGTATTGTGGGATGAAATAGAGGGCTCCTGGTTCGACTACGATATTAATGCAAAATCTCTAAGGAGGCATTTTTATCCCAGCTGTGCGGCGCCGCTGTGGGCCGGCGCCGTTGAGACTATTGACGCGGAGAAATTCGCTGCACGTCTAGTTAAATATTTACTGTCATCAGGTGCTTTGAATTTCCCTGGTGGTGTACCATCATCAATGTTCTACTCGAAGCAGCAATGGGACTTTCCTAACGCGTGGTCTCCTTCACAGAGTATTTTAATCGGTGGTTTGGAATTAAGCGGGAATAAAGAGGCGAAGATTTTAGCTAGAGAACAGGCGCAATCTTGGGTGCGCTCGAACTACATAGGATATTGTGAAACTCAAAAGATGTTTGAGAAGTATTGTGCGCTCAAACCGGGCAAGGAGGGTAGCGGAGGAGAGTATACTGTTCAGGATGGATTTGGGTGGACTAATGGAGTGGTTCTCGAGCTTTTGCAAAGGTATGGTGATAGTTTGATTGTGGAGCCGTGCAGGCGGTCATCCTCGCGCGTGCGGAAATACCTTGAGGATCCTTGTATGCCGGCGCCAGCGCCGCGGCGGATCGTTTTCAACACACCACCTTCAGTAACTATAGTGTAATTTTAAAAAGAACTTTCAAACGTCCTAGGAAAAATTTACAAAGGTATTGCAGGTATTAAAGATATTCGAACAAAATTGTTCTCGTTCTGTTCATGTGTTGCTTATACTGCGCAAGCGTGATAATTGTTATTTATTGTTCACCTAGTTGTAAGTCAAACGTGATGCTACTTTTATATGTATTGTTTTAATATAACTTATAACTGTCTAAGTAAAATATTTTTGTAATTTTTATTGTCCTGTTTTATTTTAATATCCATGATAAAAATAATTCGTACTTACCATACTGTCTTTCTGAATAACATTAAGTTCTATTACTATTGATAATCTTATGCATATTTGAATAATAACACAAAGTAAAGATTGAATTTCAGTACTATAATTGCATATAAAGGTCAAAGTACTGTTAACAGCACGTTGAACTTGAGATTTAATTGTCTACACCATTGACATTAAGGTCGGTGTCAAATGCAAAGCAGATTTGTCATTGTAAGGTATTATAAAAACGTACAACATGAATACAGTCTAAACCAAGGCTGTCCTATATTTTTTTCGGTGGACTATAATTCATTGCCAGTCGGCGAGTCACTCTGTAATTACGACATACAACGGAAGTAATATTTAGATCCAAGTACGATTTAGAAGCAGCACTCTGTACAATGCTGTTACTAGGCAAAGCTTTGCTAAGGTGAATTGGTCACCCTTCCACTATAATGAAATATCTTTAAACTTATAAAAGTAAAAAAAAAATATTATAATTTTTGTACTCGTATCGTCTACATAGAGGAATTGGCTTATCCATGATTCATAAATAGTTAATAGTAATCACGAGTTATCTGATCGGAACGCATTGACCTTTCCAGGAAGGTCTGTACGCATCGATAAGCCCCTGAATTCAACTCCGATATTGCCATTGTTAGGTTTGCAAAACTAAATTGTAACACGCCGCGTAATTAAGTAACATAATGCATAATAATAAAAAAGGGCAATTGTCTTATACTTTTGAGTTCTAATGAGTTAAAAAACCTAATCAAATTATCGAGTTCTTAGGTTTTCGCGATTGTTACACATAGGAAATGAAACTATGTTAACCGTGTCAACCGTGACCATGGGACCTGTAAAGGGCCCGAAACGTCGGTTTGTTTGAAAAAACAAATATACGCGATTTAAATCCGGAAAAATAGTTTCATTTCCTAATCAAATTATTTTGCTTGGTAATGTACGGTATTGTGCCTTTATTATAGAATTTAATTACAATAATTATTTCATAAATCAAAATCAAAATTTCATTACAACAAATAATAATTTAACATTTAGCGTCGTTGCCACAACAGAACACCCAATTTAATAATAATTTTTTGTCAATTGCGCGTGTTGCTCGACGCTGTAACTTGCCATATTTGTCTATAATGACTGAAAAATAAACACAGATTTGACAAAAGCAGTCTCAACAACATGGCCGCTATGAACTGTCAAAATCTTGGAAATACCTAAATTTATATCTGCCGCTTTACACCACAGGACAGTATATTATGGAAGTAACTAAAGTAAACTAGTCTAGCAGTACAGTAGTAAATAAAACAAAAAAATACAACCGTTTATAAAATTGTACCCCTTAGTTCTATTATATTATAAGACTTTGGATTCGCTGTTAGTGCCTTTCTTTCTTCCGAGAGCAGAACTAAGGACATAGTACTAAATGATGGTGTGTACAGTGTGTTTTTTTTAACTGGGACAGTATGGGGACATCCGGAACTTTATAGTAAACTGTCTTAGAAACGATCAAATCTTTTTTTTAAATTGTTTTAATATACATTGACTCAATTTCTTTTTTTTTTGTTTTCTTTTTTTTATTTATTGTCATCACCATCCACAGCCCATTTTATTGTATTGCACGAAAAATCAGGACCGCAGAAGTTAGTCAAATTTAATAATAAGATTTTTTTTGCTACAAAATTAATCACATTTTATTAACCGCCTTCAAAATAGAAGGAGTTTCACAAATCGCCTGTATGTTTTTTTTGTATGTATGTTACGCGCTAACTCCGGTATTTGTGAACCGATTTTCATGTTGATTTTGCTATTATCCAATTCACGGCGTTTTTCTCTCAATATACTTTGAGTAGTGAGAACCGATTTTTATTATCTCCAGTGTCAAGTCCCGTATAGTGGCGAACTAGGGGATGAATCCGGGTTTGCGCACTTTCCGGTAACCGATTTCAATAAAACTTTCTGTACTGAGATTATTCAATTTTACCAACTTCAGCTGCCCCGATTTGTTCTTTTTATACAATGAAGTTATCTTTACAAGAAACTTTGTCCAGCTTAATTGAAAAAAAAAAGAAATTGTAAATTTCATTGATTTTGTACGAAAAAACATTTTATTCAATTTGAACAAATTCCGCTGTTTCGATTTTTTTCTTCCAATACAATGAAATGATCCTTACATGAAACTGAGTCGACCAATACTAAAAAAATATAATCAGTTTTACTCATGGTGCCTAAGACAGGTTCTCTGTATCTCCTATCTTTGCGGGTATCTACATATTGTCCCAATAAAAAAAACTGTATATCGAGAAAAAGCTTTTTTTTAAAATTTAATGTAACTTTTATTTAAAAAACGGCCTCTTACTTACGACGGCTTATCTATCCGCTTTGGCTGTCCTCTAACTGAAACAAATTGGAAGTCCACGTCCAAACGAATCATATAAGTCCAAACATAGCTGTATACTAGATGTACACTGTTGAGGAGTTCCTCTCACCTGTCTGCTATTTCCATCATCAGAATAGCTCTAGGTCACCACATAACATTCTATTGTCATTGAAATTACATTTATGTGTCAAGTTTTATTGAAATAGGTTAACGGAAAGTGGGTGAAATTCATTAAGCCCAATTCATCCCTTCATTTGCCACCCTTACAGATGGAATATTTTGTTCAAATTTGAATTGAACCACTACTTAGATACCGTCTCTCCAACAATAAAAGAATCATTGAAATCGGTTCACAAATGTCGGACTGATCGCGTAAACACACACACAAAAATATAATTTAATTGAGAAACTCCTTTTTTGAAGTCGGTAATGAGAACAGTAAAGTCTTAGTTGTAATTCTACCACATTGACGTAAGATAATACTGTTAATGCCCATATTATTCCGCCAATTTAAAACAGATTTTGCTACAAATTAAGCCCGTTGACTCGCGATTTAGTTGCGTGTAAAGATGCAGTAATTAATATACGTTAATTTATAATGAACACTCTGAGGGCAGCCTAGTTTTCACGCAAGTTGAATAGCTTTCTTATAACGGCAACCATAGTTTTTTTTTTCAACGTGTTACAGTTACAAAATAAAGAACTATAATGTTGGCGCAACTGCTCTGCAAGACCGCATTTTGTTTTGTCCTCTCGCTATTCACACCCCGTTTGCAAGTCACTTATTAGGTACGTCAATTTGCAATGCAGACATTCTTAAAATCTAAAACAGATTTCTTATCAATCTGTTATGCGAAGCAAAATATAACGGGCGGTATCTACTCTGTTCCCCTTATCGTAACAAACAAACGTGATTGTCATTTTTAGCGAATGTAGGTTTAGTGATTTTGATAGAAAATATGCCACGTAAATGTCCTCTGAATCCGCTTAATAGGTTTTATGTTTTTTTTTTTCATTTAATTAGTGACGGGACGAACAAGTCGTGCTCCTGATGGTAAACTACACGTCTGTCTATAACAGTTGCAGTGCTTCTCAGAGCTTTAAATCGAAAAGATCTGAGGGGCATTGCCACTGCACTCGTTACAGTGGACATAAATTAACAAGACGTCTCATGTGCCTGTAATTTCACCAGCACCCTTACCCTTCAAACCCGGAACACAGTAATGCTGATATTACCGCTTCGCGGCAGAAATAGGTAGGCTGGCAGTATTACACTGGACGAACTCTTTCACAAGGAGCTCTACTGTTGTTTAAATGTGTACTTCGTATTTGTGTCATAAATAATGTGACCATTATTTTTTTCCTCAGAGCTGGACGCTTTTAATTTATCATTGTTTTAAAAATAAAACACATGTAAGATAGTTAAGAAATGTTTAATTATTAAAAAAAATACTATTAACTTAAAATGATGAAAAATTTTAAAAAAGAACTAATCTTGTGCAGTCTGATGATGATGGGGTGGTGTTAAATATTTTTCGCTATACCGCCATTTTTTAAATTTATTGTCACGTGTGTCCTGTTTTGTCAAAATGGTATATTTTATTTTGAGGACAGTGAGACACGAAATTTAGAAGCGGGACGTATGGTCACGTTAGTCGTGACCGTGACGACATGAACTACAACAGGAAATATGTAAAGCTTCCTCTAACAACAAAAATAGATATTACACATTTATAAGTAGTTAGTTAAGTCTAGTCCCTCAGGTCTAGTCTTAATTATACAGTGTTAAAAATCTACTAAACCAGCAGTCATTTTAACCGACTTGAAAAATGAGGAGGCAAGCAATTTGACTTATATTTTTTGTAATTCTTATTTGTTGAAAAGGTACCTTAGTAATTTGAATGGGACCACCCATTCAAATTAGAAGAAGATATCCATCGTGGAGGGTAGCAAAATAGGGAATGAAACCAGTTTATTGAATTTCACCCTCTTTCCGTTAATCTATTTCAATAAAACTTGGCATATAAATATAATTCCAATGCAATAAAACATTACGGTGATGTAGAGCTGGTCTGATGATGGAAATGGAAGACAGATGAGAGGAACTCCTCGATAGTGTGCAGTAGCTACCTTCGGGCTCCTGTTGTTAGTTTTGATGAGGATTTTATGTGTTTCAGTCATCGATGAGAAGACCATGGTACCGCAGCGAAAGCGGAAATAACTTCACGAGCAAGTCGTGTGCCGGGTGGTAAGCTTCATGCCTGTACATAACAGTTGGAGCTTAAAATCACAAAGATTTGAGGGGCAAGTCCCTGTAATTTGTAATGTGCCTGTAATTTCACCACCACCCTTATCCTGCAAAACCGGAACGCAGTACCACATTACTGCTTGGCGGCAGAAATAAGTGGCAGTACTTCCCTGGACAAACTCTTTCACAAGGAGCTCTACTGCTGCTAACAAAGTTTAATATAATCTATCGACATTGAAGAATGATAGTAATCAAATTAGGACC